TTGAAACCAATGTTGTGCAAGCACGGATTTACGACGACGACGTTGGATGGGTTTTTCTCACCAGCCACGATGCAAGCGCCCGACCAACCAGGACAACGGCCCAGAAAGTGTTGGAGTTAGGCGCCGAGAATGTTTGACAGGATTCGGCATGCAAAGTATTGGTCGACCTCACTAGCCTTTAGATGACAACCAAAACCAGTAAAGAAGAGGGAGTGGCAGCCGTGACCGACCTGCTGGAAAGACTACTGGAACATTGGGCGGAGGAATCCTTACAGCCAAACTCGCCGATCAACCTAATCGAATTCCTCCACGAATCAGATAAGGCAGACACTTTAGCCTTTGACGACTTGGAAGTGGCGCCCGCCGAGATGGAGGATGACTACCCCGAGGTACAGGACCTGTTATTAGAAATAAATGTAGGGACCGAGCCCGAACCACGGCCTCTTTTTGTAAGCCAGCTTTTGAACCCTGAATTAGAAGCCAAGATTATTGGCTTGCTCCATGAATATAAGGATTGTTTTGCTTGGGATTATCATGAGATGCCTGGATTGCCAAGAAGTTTGGTCGAGCACGAACTAAAGATTATGGAGGGGTTTAGGCCTTTCCAACAGTCGCCGAGGTGATTCTCGACCGACGTACAACTTAAGGTCAAAGAGGAAATTGAACGGCTCCTTAAAGCCGACTTCATCCGCATGGCTCGGTACATTGAATGGTTGGCTAACATCGTACTAGTTTTGAAAAAGACTGGGGCTTTGAGGGTTTGCACCGACTACATAAATCTAAACCTCACAACCCCTAAGGACGAGTATCCCATGCCTACGTCCAACCTCCTGGTGGACGGAGCCGCGAAGCACGAGCTCCTGTCTTTCATGGACGGCCACGCTGGTTACAACCAAATCTTCATAGCAGAGGAAGATGTCCACAAGATGGCGTTCAGATGTCCAAGCGCAATCGAGACTTATGAATGAGTGGTCATGCCATTCGGCCTGAAGAACACTTGCGCGACGTACCAACGAGCTATGAACCTTATTTTCCACGACCTAATTGGCCGAACCGTTGAGGTCTACATTGACGACGTTGTTGTAAAATCCCCATCTAAAGCCGACCATGTGGAGCATCTCCGGCAAGCTTTCAATCGAATACGGACACACAGCCTGAAGATAAACCTTAAGAAATGTGCTTTCGGTGTCACCGCTGGGAACTTTCTCGGTTTCTTGGTTCACCAATGAGAGATCGAGGTAGATAAAAATAAAGCCACGGCCATTATGGTAGCGCCTCCGCTAAGGACCAAGAAGGAACTCCAGTCCTTCCTCAGTAAGGTCAACTTTTGAAGACGGTTCATATCCAATTTGGCAGGGAAAATTCAGCCGTTGACTTCTTTGCTCAAACTGAAAGACACAGAATGGTTCGTGTGTAGGGCAGAACATCAAGCGGCCCTCGACGACATCAAGAAATATTTATCTCAACCACCGGTCCTTATGAAAAGAGGGAAACCCTTGAGGCTTTACATTTCGGCTTCAGAGGGCTCTATCGGCTGTCTGCTGGCTCAGAACAATGAGTCTGAATGAGAGCAAGCAGTGCACTATCTAAGCCGCACCCTTAACATGGCCGAGCTAAATTATTCCCCGATCGAGAAATTATGTTTGGCACTTTATTTCGTGGCTACCAAGTTGCGCCATTATATGCTTCCTTCGGTCGTTCAGATCATCTCCAAGACCGACCTCATCAAATACATGCTCACTCGGCCGATCATACACGGCTGAATCGGGAAGTGGACGATGGCATTTTTCGAATTCACCTTCCAATATGTGGGTCAGAAGTCGGTCAAAGGTCAGGCATTGGCCGATTTCTTGGCCCACCACCCGGCTCAGGGGCAGGAAGAAGAGTTGGAGGTCGAGATTGGCATGGCCCGCATGGAGAAGAACTACTGGACTATGTACTTCGATGGCTCCAGTACCGAGATCAGATCTGGGGCCGGGGTCATGATCGAGTCCCCCCAAGGACAAAGGTGGCAATTTGCGTTCCAACTTGATTTCAAATGCACCAATTATCAGGCCGAATATGAAGCGCTCATCATCGGTCTTGAAATTCTAAAAGAAATGAAGGCGACCCGTGTCCTGGTCTACGGTGATTCTCAACTGGTAATTAACCAACTGACTAGGGAATACTAGTGCACGAGCGAGAATTTAACCATGTATTATGTGACGGCCCTCAATACGGCCGACGAGTTTTCTAGGATCTTCTTCGTTCACGTGCTGCGCACCAAAAACCATGAGGCCAACGAGATGGCCCAGGTAGCGTCAGGTGTGAACATTCTGGACAGCGACCACAATCACGTGATAAGAATCGAGAAGCATACCCTGCTGGCTTTGGCCGAGAGAGGAATGACGACGCAAGTATCATCGGTCGAATTACAGTCAAGGTCAAAACGGCCGAAGCCGACTGGCGCTACCCCATAGTAAAATATCTGCGCGATCCCTCCGAAAACCATGAGAGGACTACTCATTTCCGGGCTCGGTGTTATTTGATTTATCAGAACGAGCTGTATCGAAAAGGATCAGACGGCTTATTGCTCCTTGTTGGCTACGTAAATCTCACAGCCTGGTGCTCTGGGCAGAGGGGATGTGCGTTAACACGTGACGTCCTTCTTTTGGATGCGGTGGTTGTGTGCAGGCGTGCCAGCACGGCCTACTGTGCGTCGAGATGGTGATGAGGTTTGGGTCGAAGATGGTTTAAATGATGCGCCTGTTTCGAGTTCGACTCCTGATCAAACGATTGTGGCTGAGAAAGGAACTGACCTCGGCCGTCAGGTTCACGGCCTGAGCTACAAGGCCGTTTAATGGTGGTGTTGGTGGTGGGTTTTAGGCGGTGCTCCGGCGCGTTGCACAGAGAGCGACGGTCGTATGATATATGGGGTGAATGAGATGACAACAAAGATGGTGCTCCGGCGCCTTGAAAATCAAGGGTCGTATGATATATTGATGAATGGATTTTCCTTACAATCTACCACTACTCCTAGGAAAGCAAATAAAGGTATTGAAAGTGCTTTACAGGAAAATATAATTTGCTCCGTGAGAGGCTTTTGGTTTGGTGTTTGAACCCCTTGAATGTAGTCTTGAGCTTAGTATTTATAGAGGGAGTCCTAGAGGGACAATCGAGGCTGAAAAGATCTGCGTGGTGAAGCCTGATCGAGGCAAATGGGTAGTCAAATCGGCATTTGGGATTGTGAAGCATGGTGGTGTGACCCCCATGGATCCGGGTAAATCTCGGCCATCGCCCTGATCGTGGGTTCTGCCCCTTTGGCCGTAGTAATGCATTTAATGCCCTGGTCCGGTGGTTGGTGATCTGACCTCAAGTTGTAAGCATACTTGTGAGAATGTTTATGCCTAACCACTCTGATCTCTATTATCAAATCCTGACTTCAGTTACTTCCCCTCTTTCCTCGTGCATTAAATGCTTCTTGCGACTAGTGGGCTTGCTGCGATAGTCAGAGGCATTACTTCATTAAATGGGGCGTGGGACCCTGAGGCCACGTGGCGATTTGACCGCAGTATATTCGGCCATGTCCTTTATGGCCCTCGGTTTTAACCCATAATACCGTGGTCACGAGGCCGAGAGGATTCTGCCTTCGCAGCTTTTCTCTTGATTTCAGGAGGTTGAAATGCCTAATGAAACGTGGCCGTTTCAGTTAATGAGTAGGTGCTAGGGCTGAGAGGAGGTCCCTTCGGTTAGTTTATGACCGTGATTTGTTAGACACAAACATTGCCCCCACATCCTTGGATTCTTCGGTCGCGGCCCGAGCAGAGGCCGAATGTATTCTATGGGATGGACCCTTTGCATTCCTCCTGAAGTGATTGACAGCTGGCGCCTTAAATGCCTACGTATTTATTGCGCAAGCACGTCTCGTAGGCCATTATTGCCCAGACTTGCATGAGTCGTTGTTTCGTCTCGTTAAATAAAACGAAGGCTTCTGGGCTGTTGACACGTCACCGCGCATGCGTACATACTGTCAGACCATTACGTCTCTCGAGAGAGCCACGCCCTTTACGTCTCTCGAGAGTGCCATGCCCTTTCGTTTCGAATTCTAGCGCCAATTTAAAAGGCCTTACCTTCTTCATTTTTCTTCACGCTTCCAAAATCCTCAGACGCCCAAACTCTACCAAACCCTTCTCTCAATTCCCCAACCCCTTCGAACTTCACATTTCAGCACTCCATCTTGTCAAATTCTTCGCCCCTTTTTCTGAGTGCTTGGTTCCTGCCATTCTAACCTGCTCTGATGCCCCCTGTAGTTTCTCCAAAACTGGGGTTGAGCCATATCCGCTGATCCTCGTGTCGTGGCCTGATCCAGATGGTTTTTCCTCTCCTGCTGGCCACCAACTATCCTTCGTCTTGGAAAGTCAAAGTGCGCCACGGCCATGATGTGGGGGAGATCCCCTCCCGGCCCTGGGAGAGGATGACCTCCCTCTTTATGAGGCCGTGGAGAAACTGTAATGTGATTGATGAAGATGGGAGGGCCTGGTATGATGATTCCAACAGGGTCACGCTCGTTTGGTCTAGCACCTTGGCCTCACCCGTGTCCAGAGTGACGCCCTTTCCCATGTCCAGAGTGACGGCCTCGGCTTCAACTTGGCAGTACCCATGTCCAGATTGACGGCCCTGCCCATGTCCAGAGTGATGGCCTTGGCTTCAACCCGGCCGCACCCATATCCAGAGTGACGGCCTTGCCTATGGCCGCGGTCAGTGAAGATGTGGGCGGTGGAGACACCACTTAGGGAAGAATCATCTGCCTGTTCTAGCGAGGGGATCAAGAAGCGGCCATTCATAGATTTAGAATGTACTCTATTTTTCGCACATCTATGTTTATATGTTTCACTCGGCCATGACCGGCCGTTCTTTTTGTAACCGCGACCCCTTTCTTTTAATCTAAATGAAGTATGACTCCCTTTTTCTTCTGACCGAATATATGTTTTTTTTTCTTTCATCTATGTTGATTGTAAACCTCATAACCCATTCTGGGCCGTCTCCCATAATGACGGGGTATATCTCTTCAAATATTGGCCGTTTATTGGCAAGTTGTGCAATTCTCCATCCCTATCTCTCAACTGAAATGCATCTCGGCCAGGAATTTGTTGGATAATAAATGGCCCTTCCCAATTGGGTGAGAATTTGCCGAACCGAGAATTTGCCATACCAAGTCGCCTTCGGCAAAAGTCTTTTGCTTCACCTTCCTGTTGTAGACCTTCCTGCTTTTGCTCCGAGTCTTCTAACTCCTGAGCCATGGCTTGCGTATAGTCCTTCTCTTCCTGCCCAGGTCGTTCGGTCACATGGATAGACCGAACCTTTAACTCCATCGGAACGATGGCGACATGGTCGTAGGTTAAGGCATAAGGGGATGTGCTAGTAGCCAATCGTTTTGAGACTCGGTAAGCCCAAAGGGCTTCAGGGAGTAAGTCGTGCCATGCCCTAGATTTTTCCTTAATCATTTTCTTGAAGATACCCTTGATTACCTTGTTGCTCGCCTCGGCCTGTCCGGTAAACTGTGGGTAGTAGGGTGTCGAGTGGACCAATTTGATCCTTATCCTTTCGGCGTATTCTCGATCTCGGCTGATGCGAAAACTGGGCCGTTATCAGCCGTGATGGTTTCGGGTATATCGAATCTGTGGACGATGTGATTTTTGAAGAATCTGACCACCTGTGCGCTGGAAATGGACCGATAAAACTCTGCCTCGACCCATTTAGTGAAATAGTCAGTTGCTACCAAAATTCAGGCGTGCTGGTTGGATGCGGCTGGGTAGATTTTGCCGATGATATCCACGGCCCATCCTCTGAACGGCCACGGTTTAGTAACCGTGTGGAGGGCTTCAGTTGGAACCCTTTGTATAGGGCCGTAGATTTGACACTTGATATACCCTTTCGCATACTCTATGCAGTTCTTTAAAATGGTCGGCCAGTAATAGCCGTGCCTCCGGACCAACCATCTCATCTTGACGACAGACTGGTGAGCGCTGCAAATCCCTTTATGGGATTCGGTCATGATAACCTTAATATCTTCGGCGCTGGGGCATAGGAGTAATAAGCCATCTGATCCCTTTCGATACGGCTCATTCTGGTAAATCAAATAACATCGAGCCCGAAAACGAGTAGTCCTCTCATAGTTGCCGGAGGGATCGCGCAGATATTTTACTATGGGGTAGCACTAGTTGGCCTCGGTCGTCTTGACCTCGTCGGTAATTTAGACCGATGATACTTGCGTCGTCATTCCTCGCTCGGCCAAAGCCGACAGGGTACGCTTGTCGATTCTTATCACGTGGTCATGGTCGCTGTCCGGAATGTTCACACCTGACGCTACGTGGGCCATCTCGTTGGCCTCATGGTTTTCGACGCGTGGTATGTGAATGAAGGAGATCCTAGAAAACTCGTCGGCCGTATTGAGGGCCGTCACATAATACATGGTTAAATTCTCGCTTGTGCATTGGTATTCCCTGGTTAGTTGGTTAATTACCAGTTGAGAATCACCATAGACCAGGACACAGGTCGCCTTCATTTCCTTTAGAATTTCAAGATCGATGATGAGCGCTTTATATTCGGCCTGATTATTGGTGCATTTGAAGTCAAGTTGGAACGCAAATTGCCACCTTTGTCCTTGGGGGGACTCGATCACGACCCTGGCCCCAGATCTGACCTCGGTACTGGAGCCATTGAAGTACATAGTCCAATAGTTCTTCTCCATGCAGGCCATGCCGATCTCGACCTCTAACTCTTCTTCCTCCCCCTGAGCCGGGTGGTGGGCCAAGAAATCGGCCAATGCCTAACCTTTGACCGACTTCTGAGCCACATATTGGAAGGTGAATTCGGACAATGCCATCGTCCACTTCCCGATTCGGCCACGTATGATCGGCCGAGTAAGCATGTATTTGATGAGGTCGGTCTTAGAGATGATCTGAACGACCGAAGGAAGCATATAATGGCGCAACTTGGTAGCCGCGAAATAAAGTGCCAAGCATAATTTCTCGATCGGTGAATAGTTTAGCTCGGCCATGTTAAGGGTGCGGCTTAGATAGTGCACTGCTTGCTCTCGTTCAGACTCGTTGTTCTGGGCCAGCAGACAGCCGATAGAGCCCTCTGAAGCTGAAATGTAAAGCCTCAAGGGTTTCCCTCTTTTCGGCGGCATAAGGACCGGTGGTTGAGATAAATATTTCTTGATGTCTTCGAGGGCCGCTTGATGTTTTGCCCCCCACACGAACCGTTCTGTGTCTTTTAGTTTGAGCAGAGGAGTCAACAGCCGGATTTTCCCTGCCAAATTGGATATGAACCGTCTCAAAAAGTTGACCTTACTGAGGAAGGACTGGAGTTCCTTCTTGGTCCTTGGCGGAGGCGCTGCCATAATGGCCGTGGCTTTATTTTTATCTACCTCAATCCCTCGTTGGTGAACCAAGAAATCGAGAAAGTCCGGCGGTGATGCCGAAAGCACATTTCTTAGGGTTCATCTTCAGGCCGTGCGTCCGCATTCGATTGAAAGCCTGTCGGATATGCTCCACGTGGTCGGCTTTGGATGGGGGTTTTACAACAACGTCGTCGATGTAGACCTCAACGGTTCGGCCAATTAGGTCGTGGAAAATAAGGTTCATAGCTCGTTGGTATGTTGCGCCGGTGTTCTTTAGGCCGAACGTCATGACCACCCATTCGTAAGTCCTGATTGCACCTGGACATCTGAACGCCGTCTTGTGGACATCTTCCTCGGCTATGGAGATTTGGTTGTAACCAGCGTGGCCGTCCGTGAAAGACAGGAGCTCGTGTTTCGCGGCTTCGTCCACCAGGAGGTCGGACATAGGCATGGGATACTCATCCTTGGGGGTCGCGAGTTTTAGATTTCTGTAGTCGGTGCACACCCTCAATAACCGTGCGGATGAAGCCGGCTTTAAGGAGCCGTTCAATTTCCTCTTTGACCTTAAGCTGTACGTCGGTCCAGAATCGCCTCGGCGACTGTTGGAAAGGCCTAAACCCCTCCCTAGTCTTTAGTTCGTGCTCGATCAAACTTCTTCGCAATCCAAGCATCTCATGATAATCCCAAGCAAAACAATCCTTATATTCATAGAGCAGGCCGATAATCTCGGCTGCTAATTCAGGGTTCAAAAGCTGGCTTACAAAAAGAGGCTGTGGTTCTGACTCAGTCCCTACATTTATTTCTAATAACGGGTCCTGGACCTCGGGGTAGTCATCCTCCATCTCAACAGGCGCCGCTTCCAAGTCGTCGAAGGCTAAAGTGTCCGCCTTATCTGATTCGTGGAGGAATTCAATTAGGTTGATCGGTGAGTTTGGTTGTAAGGATTCCTCCGCCCAATGTTCCAGCAGTCTTTCCAGTAGGTCGGTCACGGCCGCCGCTCCCTCTTCTTTAGTGGTTTCGCCGGGGCCCTCGACCATAGGCCTCGCAGTCCCAGGGGTATCGTCCGTGGACGCTTTGATCTTAGGGGGGTCTGAGGTCTCGACCTCCTCCTTGAGGGCTTGTCTAGCCTTAGCTAACGCATCCCTGGCCGTTAAGTAGTCGTCTAGATGGCTTACCCGGGCCCTTTCCTCGGTCGTCAGACCGAAGATAGTATCGGCCGAAGTCACAGTAAAATATTAGCGGAGGTATTCTAAGTCGCTCCTGCTAAAAGGGGCCTTGTCCTCCAGCCTTCCTTGATCTGGCCGGTAACCTGGCATCCCTCTTGCCCTAGCCTCTCGGTTTGCCTGGTATACGGCCTTAATGGCCGAGTCGGACCCGCTGGAAATGAGGAGCCCCTCCGCCTTAGCGTTTTTTAGAGCAAACTCCACGATTTCACGGTTCTCGGGGGTCAGGTCGTATAGGTCGGTGGCCGAGTGGTCCTTATGGAATTTGATGAGAAAGGACAAACCGTTGGCTGAAAAAGGGGGGTCCTTTCCGTGGTAGACGTCGATGATACCCTTATCTATTTTCTCCAGGGCTGCGGCCTTTGGTTCGACCGAAACAGCCGCCACTTCGCGGGAAAAACCGTCCTGCCTAGGGCGCCACGTCCTTGGAGGCTTGATGCTGGCAACCTTTGTTGTGGGGGGAACGATTGGTACGGATGGTGGCTCGTCTGCGGTCGCCATCTTCTTTTGGCGTTTTAATCCCTTGACCTGGGCCGTCTGTATCCTGGCCTGTTGAACTTGTCTCTGCATCATTCTCAGCTGGGTTTTTGTCAGTGGCTCGGT